TGATGAGTTCCTTGTGTTCTTCCTATCGGTACTTGGGTTTTACGTTGTTTTTTTTTTCATACGTCAGCTGCTATAGCGTTGAACTGATAGAAATAAATAAACAATAAACTCGATAATTCCTAAATTGCTTCAAAAAGGGTAGCGATTTTTGAACAGAATCGGGATTGATAGGGAATATTGTTGATTTGTTCATGAAACAACTCAAACAAACATTATATGAGGACATTTGAAGGATTCTCTCGGCAAGGTAGGAGCCGAGAAACTCATCTGCTCATAGGCCTATGCGCATTGCCAGACATAAGGAGAATGAAATTAAAAGTTATTATGAAACTGAAACGTATGATTTCATACCAACAATTCCTCACCAGGAGTATCGATGATATTGATGTTTGTTCCATGCCAATCCACATAAGTAGCAGCTGATTGAATAGTGATACCGCGTTGCCTTTCCAACTCCATAAAATCCATGGTAGCACCAACTTCATCTTTACCGCGGACCTAAACAAGATAATTTCTTTATATTGACAGTAGCTGCAAAATCAGGCAGTAATTAAGTTGAAGAGTCTTAAGCGGAAGAAGTTAAAATGCGCTCTACCAACTTACCTCATGCATGGAGTCGATTCTTCCGGCATAGAACAAAATCCTTTCTGTTAATGTGGTTTTACCAGAATCAATATGAGCAGAAATACCTGTAAAGGGATATCTTGACGCAAACCCTCACTGACCATGAGTAGGTGGGTAAGAGAGAATAAATTAGTACTTACCTATATTCCTGATGCGTTCCACCGGTCTTACACCAGGTAGTGAGCTGGGGGCAGCTTGAGCCGCATTGGAACTGCATCCACGAAAAAGGAGGACCTAAATAGTATTTATAATTACTATTCCATTCAGGCTAATGCTAAGAAGATGAGCAAATAGACGGTTATGAGTAAAACTAACACCTTTCTCAGAAAGGGAGCTCTCAACACCGATACCATTTCAGACGTCCAACAGCGATGCTGCGGAGAATACCCCTAGAAGTAAGTGTATAAAAGTTTTGCATGAAAAAGAGTAATTAGACGTACACTAATAAATATGAACTAAGATATATTAAGAAGATAAATAGGCAGTCAATAACGACCGTGGTACTATTCACAAGCATGAAATTCAATCATTCAAAGCCCAGATATCCAGATAAAATTTGTTCATGTTACCCTTTGGCAAATTCTAAACACCTAAAGCACATTTTCAAACGCTTTATAAAAAATGCTGTTGAAAACCACAAATATTGAGAAACGATGCAACAACTCAACAGACTGCGCTATCTGTTTTATGTCGTCCTGTGGAGTGTCGTCACAAAGAATTTGACAGGTGGCCCTGGAGAACACCGTGTTTTCAATCGTNATTTTCAAACGCTTTATAAAAAATGCTGTTGAAAACCACAAATATTGAGAAACGATGCATCAACTCAACAGACTGCGCGATCTGTTTTATGTCGTCCTGTGGAGTGTCGTCACAAAGAATTTGAAAGGTGGCCCTGGAGAACACCGTGTTTTCAATCGTAGGGTTATTAACTATAACAGTTATCTGGGTGAAAAGGGAGAAAAAAGAACCCATTTCACCATTATGAGATGCGCCACGCATCCGATTCGTTTTCAAATTTGCTGGCACCTTTGGATGAGCATTCGAGGTATTGCAGCAATATCTGGCGATCGAAGGGCTACTGAAGCCACTTTGTTTCTCCTACACTATACTTCCTTTTTTTGCAGTTTCTTCATAAGGCCCCTGCCCCCGGGTCGTACAGTCCAAACTAACCAAGACCTCCGTGTAGGTGGAGTTGTTTACTTGCTACCGTAATATCATAATTTGGAAGTAGAGAAGAACGGTTTCGTGTGCCGTCTGATCCATTTCCTAATACATATCCGAATTGCTCCACATCTGGGTGGTCAAATGCATGGCGCATCCCGGGAGGATTGATTGGCTGCTTGTTGATGTTTACCATCCAGTTTACCGGCTGTGTGAGAAATATTCCAAATATTTATTGCATCTTTTTATCATGAATACAATACCATATACAACTTAGGGCAGGGAAAATGACCCTCTTTTCTATTTCATCGCCGGACTTTGCGGAAACGTCTGCGAACGAGTACTCGCCGCCACCAGCTCTGGATGACTCGTGCTGCCGTTTCGCTGAGTTCGTTGAATAGAAGAGCTCCTTGGGACCGTAAGTACTCAGCAATCTAAATTAAACAGAAATAGTCCAGAGATGTTGCCGTACGCGAGTGGGCGGGACTTTTACAGCCATTCTAACGTTCCTATTGGAGAGACGGTTTTTAAGTCCCGCCCACATTTCGCCCAATGAACGGCTACGGTGGCCATAAGCAGCAAAAACAAAGTGAAAGTACTATAACAATTCGATCCAATGATTCATCTAGATTATATTTTAAAATATTGTAAAGGTAAACATGATCGATGGTTTGTTGCCCATACTTACATTGCTGTGTTTGTTGTCAACAGCACATTGTAAACATGTTTTCCTCATATCGTTCACAGCATTTGGAGCAGCTCCTCCTTTGAGTAGGGCCAAGACACAATCCATTTTACCACGAGAGCACGCTATGTGCAGAGCTGTCTCACCTTAAGTAGAAGTAACTCGTCCGGAAGCCTTAGGAAAATAATGATTTTTCGCCGTTCAAATATTGCCGTCGTTCCAATTCTTACTCCTACCGTAACATGATGACTAACCATGCTTGTCTTTCCATCCTGTCAGCGGTGAGATGAGACAATCATCTTCTGCTTCTATCTGTAAGAATAACTCTAGTCCTATAACCCTAAGCTAAATAGATACCGTACCCTTTTTCGGTACTCTTACTGATCCCAAAAAGAGTCTTACATTGAGTAGCACATTGATGCAGGCCGTGAAACCAGCAAAGGCAGCCGCATGTAATGGAGTCTGTCCTAGGGCGTCGGTGATAGGAACGCGACGATGTCTGAAAATAGCTTTCCAGAGGAAGTGCTCTGCTATGTCTCCTGTACGCTCCGCTTCATAAATGGAGTGTATTGGCAAAACGGTACAGTAATGGCTCCGAGCCTGGCAGGGACGATTGGCAGCCCCGCCTCTAAGTGGACGAGTATGA